CTCAGTGTCTGCAACCCCTCTCTGTCAATCCCTGCACTGGCTTCCAATAGCCCAAAGGATAAAATTAAAAAATATTAACAACCACTTACAAAGCCGTCCACGGCTCCGCCGCCGGCTATAACCTTGTCTCACCCTAACAGTCCCCTCCGCTCCTCCCAAGACCTCCTGCTTTCCAGCTCCCTCATCAACTCCTCCCATACTCGCCTCCAGGACTTCACTAGGGTCTCCCCCATCCTATGGAACTCTCTACCCCAACCTGTCCGTCTATCTCCCACTCTGACTGCCTTTAGGCGATCCCTTAAGACTCATCTCTTCAGGGAAGCCGATCCCACCTCAACCTAACTGCTCAACCATCACGTTCTCAAACAATTCATCCCCACACAGCTCCCTCCTCAGGTATCACTTGCTCCTCCCCTTTTAGATTGTAAGCCCTCAGGGGCAGGGCCCTCCTTACCATCTTGTCTTGTGATTGTAATGTCTTCCTTATATTGTTAAGCGCTGAGCAAACTGTTGGTGCTCTATAAATCCTGTATAATAATAATAATAATAAAGTTTGACATTTTGTTTTTAACTGGTTTGTTGGAATTTTTGGAAGAAATGAACAAGCCAGCTTCACCCAGCTACATCGATCCACGTGGATGGTTTCACTCACTGAACGTTACCTGTTCTCCATCCAGAGGGAGGTTCCTGTTTGCTGCTTCATGTCGGCCCCTAAAGCTGTAAAAATCACAACGAGGGACATTTATTGAGCAAACGAGTTACACAATTGTTGTACTTTTATCTTTTTATCCTCAATCAGCTTTTCTCTAGTTAGAAAATCCATCAAAAAAAAAAAAAAATCCTCCGGCATTCTATAACGACTAAAGACTTCAGAGATGTGCAGTATGAAAAACATTTTCCTGATACACAGATTTAAAGAGTTCTATACCATTAAAATTATACTATACCATCCTAATAATCATCCTAAAATAAATCATACCCAGCTGTCCCACCCCTCCCTCTGGTGACATCAATCTCTCCGCGGCTGACTTACCCTTTCCCCTCTCTCCCAACATCCATCCTTCCCCAACTGCTTTCCAATCAATTACATCCATCCCTCCCAACCACCTTTACCATCCTCCTCACTGCCATCCATCCCTCCCCAGCTGCCTCATCCACTCAGTGGCATCCATCCCTCCCCAGCTGCCTCATCCAGTGACATCCATCCCTCCCAACCACCTTTACCATCCTCCTCACTGCCATCCATCCCTCCCCAGCTGCCTCATCCACTCAGTGGCATCCATCCCTCCCCAGCTGCCTCATCCAGTGACATCCATCCCTCCCAACCACCTTTACCATCCTCCTCACTGCCATCCATCCCTCCCCAGCTGCCTCATCCACTCAGTGGCATCCATCCCTCCCCAGCTGCCTCATCCAGTGACATCCATCTTCCCCAACCGGCTTTCCCATCCCCTCCACTGCCATCCATCCCTCCCCAGCTGCCTCATTTCCCTCCCCCATTTGCCTACGTACCTCGCCACCCAGTGCCGGTGCTAAGATTCTTGCCTGGTCTGGTGGGAGGAGCTCCAGGTGGGGTCCTAATTTAGCTGGCCGGTGACTGCCAGAGGTGCCGCGCATGTCGGGATCCTCTGGCAGTCGCCGACCAGCTAAATTAGGACCCCACCTGGAGCTCCTCCCACCGGACCAGCGCTGACTCGCCGCTGCTCTCCCGCACCGAAGGCAAGTGAAAAAAAAAAAAACATAGCGCAAGCATCGGGGCATTTTGGCAAGTACTTGTCAAAATGCCATGTTTTTTCCGCCCTCACCCTGCAGCGTCCTCAGGCGGCCGCCTGACTTGCCTTGCGGTAGCGCCGGGGCGGTCGCCACCCCTGATTCACTGTCATACATCCTTCTCTGCACACATTAACCCCTCTGTTGACATCCACTGCTCCCTGGCTGCTTCACCTCCTCCTCCATTGCCATCTTGCACTCTAAAGCAGCCTCCCTGGCCATTCCTCCCTCACACCTTCTGCTGACATCTATCCCTCCCTGGCCACCTCACCACACTCAACTTATATCCATCCCTCCCCAAATTGCTCCCCCCCGCCTCCCTTCACCACTTTGCTGACATCAATCCTTCCATGACCATTTGCCACCCTATCCTCTGACATCCTTTCTTGCCTATCTGGCTTACAGCCCACCGATATCCATGCCTCCCCCCATCCACCTCTACCCCAATGACATATTAACATCCAAAATAGTCCATGGATTTGTACATATCCCCGACCATGCCTGTCCTGGATCACATACATGTTACTAGTATATCATACAGTGCATGCTGAATATTAGCATGAGAAGACAGACTATGCTTCTTGTGACGGGCCTCACCTGCTTAGATCGGTCTGGACTTCGCTCACCGTCTCCCTCCTCTTCCTCCTGGGCGGGGTGTAAAAGCGGCTCTGCGCCAGCGCAGATTTGGCCGGCGTCTTCAGGGTCCGCGGGGTGAAGGCCCGCTGCTTGCTGGTGAAGTGATGGGCGTGTTTTTCGATCAGGTCGCCGCTGTAGGTCTTCTCGCGGTTGTCCTGGAACCTCTGCGTGGCAGCACCCCAGGTGGACGAGCCGGACAGGCCGCAGCCCATCCTAGAAGGAGCTCCCGAGAGGTCGGGGTGCCTCGGCCTAAAGTCGGCAGCATACTCGGAAGAATGGAAGTGTCGGGGCGAATAGAGGAAGGAAGTTGGGGAAGCCCCAGGATCGGAGTACGGAGATCGTCGGAGCGCATTGCCGTACCCACCATACAGATCCTGTAAATAGAGATTTCACATCTTCATTCATTGGCCTCAAAGGGGAATTCTGGAGTTGATTTCATGCAATACAAACAGTTGAGATATATCATTATAGAAAAAGTAAACTTCTCTTTAGGTCAGTCCGTGCCACTACACAATACACAAGGTATTCCCGGCCCTACCCAATCATTGTTGGAGATGTGGAGGACCGGAAGCCACAATGCTCCATGGATGATGGAAACACCATCCAATACAAACTCTATGGAGCTCAATCTCCTTCATATATAACCAGATTACCGGGAGAGCTCTACAAATCTCCTCTGAGATCCTCTAAGTATCAATCATCACTGGACGCCTACCAGAAATTCCAGAAGGAGATCCTCTGTTTTTTTCTTTCCACCAGTTGGGCCCCTCATATCCTGATATTTGAGATCCACAACCCCCATCCATAGGCAAATGGAAGAACTTAATTATCTAATGCACTTGGATAATTATCACCCGGGTCAACCTGGAACATCACCATTACCCCCCCTTATCACACAGGTCAACCTGGAACATCACCAATACCCCCCGCCCCATCACTTGGGTCAACCTGGGACATCACCAATACCCCCCCTATTACCCGGGTCAACCTGCTTAATCACCAATACC